CCTTTGCCCCCCCCCCCCCATGGTTTTTTGTCTCATCGTGCCAATCAGCGTGCATGGCGATGGCGGGCATCCTTGCGGCTTCTCTCCTACTCCTCATCACCGGAGAGACCAAGGGCAACCCGCACGTCAAGAACTTCTGGCGCCCCGCTCTCACCTGCACGCTCGCAAGTCCCTTCGGATGTAGGTTTTGTGGGGGGTGTTTTGAACTTTAAGCGTTTTCATGTAGTATGTCGTGTCAGATGGACACCGGCAGCAGCGCCGCATAGGTGCCTCACTCCAACCAATCTCAAAACACGTTATGTAGTCTCCCAATCAAATTGATGCGCTTCATGTAAATAAAGCATGCAAGGTCGCGAGCAAGCCTCCCAACGTACCGGCACGCTGTTAGTATCGTGCGACTACAGTTAGTGGCGGAATTCTGCGGTGCCCTCAGCACTTCTTACCCCAGGTTGTTCTTAAGTTAGCTTGTTGTCACGCCGTGCAAGTAGTAGATTGGTACGAAGTGGTACACTTTAGGTTGTGATGCTTCAAGACTCCCGCTTGTCTGGCGGGCTGATGTGCGCGAAGCAGGCAGCGGGTCGCCTTGCCTGCAGCCCAGGTAGAAATTTCGCCCGTGACCCATGTTCACCTGGTTTAAAATGCAACGCTTTGCGCCGTAGCTTGGATGGTTGTTGTTTACGTCGACTATGGTCTACAACATCCCCCCCCCCCTCTGCAATCACGTCGCTTCGTTCGGCGGCGTTCTCTTCCGTCACCCCCTACACTGGTGACACAAACACACACATGCGGAACACATGGGGAAAACACGCTCATAGATTGGTCTCTCTCGTACATCAGCTACCCGCTGCTTCTCCTCGCCAAGAGCTGCAAGCTGGTGCCAGTGATGCTGGTGGGAGTGGTGTTGCTCGGACGGAGGCACACGCGCGCTGAATACCTCGCCGTCGGGCTTATCACGGCTGGGGTAGCTTTGTTCTCGCTAAAGCCGGGGGCGTTTAAGGAGGACGCTTTGGGCGAGGAGGGGGCAGGGGATGAAGCCGGCGGGCAAAAAAATGCCATCGGGCTTGCGCTGGTGAGAGAGGGGGGGAAGGGGGTTGGATTTTAGAGGATTGAAGCTGTCGTATTTTTTCAGGTACAATTTGAAACGAAAATCTTGTACATTAGTCTATATTGAATGAAGTGGTACGGTATTTATGCACAGCGCTATCGTATGGGAATACACGTGCACGCACCATACAGCAGTGCACCTACGCACAACCGCTCTATCCTGTGTTTCCTGTCGGAGAATGTTTGTTTTTCCCTCTCCTCGCGCACGCGGACGCTTTTTGTTGTTTTGAAAATTACGCCCAGGAGGGCAGACTAGGATTATTTCCCAGGTTGTGAAGTCACATACAAGTCCGACTTTCATCAAAGCAAAAAAACTGCGGAATCGATGCCGTCTACCGCCTTGTGGGGACAAGCGATAGGCCATGTGCGCCACAAAAAAGCTGTAAGAAGGAAGCCATCCACAACACGAGGCTATGTATCAGCCAAGCGATGCTCGTGGTGCAAGCCGCGTCCTCAGGCTTTCCCGAGAAATCTTGTTTGGTCTCTGTCTTCAGAACGTGTCGTGGCCGGCCGTCAGTTCTTGGCGGCGAATTCGCTTAGAAATGCGGTGCTGCAACACAACATGAAGCATCAAATATCTCTTGGCATATTCGCAGAATCTTTGACGATACGCAAGCTAAGTTCATGTAGCAATGGGCGACGCTAGCGCGCCGACCGCATTCGGCACTGTCGGCAAACAGGGAGAAATGCCAGCACAGGACAAAACATCGTGACCCCGCTTCCCGAACGCTTGTTGAACATGTGTTGGAAACCCGCCAATTAAATAGACAACTCGCCCCACCCCTATCCCCTATCCTCGACGGTCCATGGCCAGCATCTGGTTTCCACGTGAGGCTGAAACATGCCTCACGGCGTCTACTGACCAAGGTTCCCACATGTTTCCAGGTCACGGTCAACCTTTTGCTCGACGGGGTCACGAATGCCGAGCAAGACCGGATCAACGCGCGCTTCAAGGCGCCCGGGTCCTACATGATGCTCGCCATCAACTTCTGGATTCTCATGTTCCATGCCTTGTACCTGGGCTCATGCTGGGTCGTTTTCGGCCCTGAGAGCGAGCTCGCCAAGGCGCTCTACTTCATGGCTACTTTTCCGGAGGTACACGTAGATGGGATAAGAGCTGCTGTGTCCGAGGGGCTACTTTAGGGGGCTTGCTCCTGGAGAGCACGCCGGGGTGGCACTCCAAACCTCCATCAGGCGTAGAAGATGGAGAGATGAAAGGGGGGCAGGAGTCTATTGTATAGGATATAGTACAGCTATACTTGAACGCATACACAACGATGGGTTTTATTTAGACTGCGATACTTGAAGTAGGATTCACTATAGCCCACTATGTCCTATTCTACGATTGTCCAACCAACCAAACTTCGATTAGGCCAAATACAAGCGGCCGGGGGGGGGGGGGCGG